AAGAAAGAAAGAAAGAAAAGAAAGAAAGAAAGAAAGAAAAAAAAAGAAAGAATCTAACGGGAGAAAGAAAACGAGAAAGAAATCAAACGAGAGAGTGAAAACTAAAGAAAGAAAGAAAGAAAGAAAGAAAGAAAGAAAGAAAGAAAGAAAGAAAGAAAGAAAGAAAGAAAGAAATGAATCTAAAGGGAGAATGAATACGAGAAAGAAATCAAGCGAGAGAGAGAAAAAGAAAGAAAGAAATCTGACGGGAGAAAGAAAGAAAGAATGAAAGAAAGAAAGAAAGAAAGAAAGAAAGAAAGAAAGAATGAAAGAAAGAAAGAAGGAAAGAAAGAAAGAAAGAAAGAAAACGTAAAGAAATCAAACGAGAGAAAAAAAGTGAGTAAGGGAGCCAAGAAGAGAGAATGAGAGAGAGTCATATCCAAAAACGCTGACTAACTTCCCGACATTTTCTCAGACGATATCTTACTCGACATTTTTGTTATTTTTTCTAATCTTCGTTTCCAAGTGCATTCTTAAATCTTGTTCAGATCAATGCTGACTTCAGCGTTTAGAAATCTTTCTAAAACCCAAATTCAATGATCAACGAATATTCTATCCATCTTAACACTGTGTTTGAACAGTAAAAATTCGCTTAGTCTGGTACAAGGTTACACTACTTGTTCACCACCCAGACGAAATGCTTTGCGATATAAGCTTGTTAACCATTACACTAGGAGAGATGCATCCACCATATACAGATATTATGACACAAGACTGTGACGCCCCGTCGGTGGGGCTTAGAATATATTAATTAGAATCTCTGCTTGGGGGTGGTGGAGAAACTTCCTCCTTAAAAGAGGCTACCTTCTGGGTGGATATTTGCAGACACAATTATAAAACCGACTAGTACCTGTTTTTTTGTTTACTCTAGCATTCATTAAACCAATGTCTGCTTTTTGGGGGTTGTTAGTATAAACCAGACGTATTGTATCTTCTTTTTGACATCAGTTTTATCTGGTCAATCGTCTACCATTTTAACTGAAGTATAAACCACACAATATGTCTACCTTCATTTTGACTCTAGTGTAAACCGGTCCAATGTCTACTTTTTTTGGTTAGTGTAATCCAGACCTACATCTAACTCCTTTGATTCTACATACTACCCCACAAAAAATAAAATAAAATAAACAGGAAATTTGGTAGAGTTTATTTGTTAGAATTTTTGTAACAGTAATTTGGAACAAAAGCAAAAAATAGAAATTTAGTAGCTTAAAACACAAAAACACAATTGCTAGACGTGGTGTTCAAATTAAAGAACTCGGCCAGGATTTCTCGGCATGTTTTTCTGTACCCAAGTTGGATATTATTTACATTATTCGTACTATTGTCCTCATCTTTGTCACCATATTTATCACCCTTCAGTATCTGTCTATATTTCTGAGATGAGGTATTATGTACACTATTTACATTATTCGTACTATTGTCCTCATCTTTGTCGCCATATTTATCACCCTTCAGTATCTGTCTATATTTCTGAGATGAGGTATTATGTACACTATTTACATTATTCGGACTATTGTCCCCATCTTTGTTGCCATATTTATCACCCTTCAGTATCTGTCTATATTTCTGAGATGAGGTATTATGTACACTATTTACATTATTCGGACTATTGTCCTCATCTTTGTCGCCATATTTATCACCCTTCAGTATCTGTCTATATTTCTGAGATGAGGTATTATGTACACTATTTACATTATTCGGACTATTGTCCTCATCTTTGTTGTCATATTTATCACCCTTCAGTATCTGTCTATATTTCTGAGATGAGGTATTATGTACACTATTTACATTATTCGGACTATTGTCCTCATCTTTGTTGCCATATTTATCACCCTTCAGTATCTGTCTATATTTCTGAGATGAGGTATTATGTACACTATATACATTATTCGGACTATTGTCCTCATCGTTGTTGCCATAATTATCACCCTTCAGTAACTGTCTATATTTCTGAGATGAGGTATTATGTACACTATTTACATTATTCGGACTATTGTCCTCATCGTTCTTGCCATAATTATCACCCTTCAGTATCTGTCTATATTTCTGAGATGAGGTATTATGTACACTATTTACATTATTCGGACTATTGTCCTCATCTTTGTTGCCATATTTATCACCATTCAGTATCTGTCTATATTTCTGAGATGAGGTATTATGTACACTATTTACATTATTCGGACTATTGTCTTCATCTTTGTCGCCATATTTATCACCCTTCAGTATCTGTCTATATTTCTGAGATGAGGTATTATGTACACTATTTACATTATTCGGACTATTGTCCTCATCTTTGTTGTCATATTTATCACCCTTCAGTATCTGTCTATATTTCTGAGATGAGGTATTATGTACACTATTTACATTATTCGGACTATTGTCCTCATCTTTGTAGCCATATTTATCACCATTCAGTATCTGTCTATATTTCTGAGATGAGGTATTATGTACACTATTTACATTATTCGGACTATTGTCCTCATCTTTGTCGCCATATTTATCACCCTTCAGTATCTGTCTATATTTCTGAGATGAGGTATTATGTACACTATTTACATTATTCGGACTATTGTCCTCATCTTTGTTGCCATATTTATCACCCTTCAGTATCTGTGTATATTTCTGAGATGAGGTATTATGTACACTATTTACATTATTCGGACTATTGTCCTCATCTTTGTTGCCATATTTATCACCATTCAGTATCTGTCTATATTTCTGAGATGAGGTATTATGTACACTATTTACATTATTCGGACTATTGTCCTCATCTTTGTTGCCATATTTATCACCATTCAGTATCTGTCTATATTTTTGAGATGAGGTACACTATTTAAACTCCCTTCCTCTTACTTCCTTCCCTGATAACTATAATGTTTAAAAATCTAAATGTAATGCCGATCAACATTTTCTAATACCTTGGTCCTTGTTCTTTTTAATCCTTCTCTGTTCTTCTTTTTACCCTTTCCTCAACCCCCTAAACCCAGTTTTTCCCTTACTTAAACTCTCTGTAGCCCCTTAAGAATTAGTGGTACTTCCGCCTTGCTTGGTGTGAATTACTTAAGAAAAGCGATAATAAAAACAAAAAATTGCAATATGAGCTCTGGTAAAAAAAATGCAATGATAATAGCAAAAATTGCAATATGAGCACTGGTAAAAAATTGTTGCTGAAGACATTAGGTTTATAATACACAGAAATTTAAGGACACATGGCACAGTGGATAAAGACGTTAGTTAAATCCATTGACAGGACCCAAAGAGTGTGAGTTCAATATCTGGTTAAGGCCGTGGAGAACTTGGAGACTACAACAACCTCATTATAATAACGTTGCAACAACCCAGCAACAACGTCGTTATTACAACAAACTAATATAATTACAAACAGTTTCACCAGTTCACACCATCACCGCAAGGATCGTTTTGTTTTTTCGTATTCCATTAGTAAGGAAGAAGTTATAGCCAGAGAGCTTCTTTCACTGAACAGTTACTTTGTGGGAGAGATTTCCAATGCTTCTCCGATCACTACAATTTTAACCTCTTCATGTCTACGGTAAACTTTTATCTATCTTACATATCCTCATACATGGACTTTTTGCACAACTTCAATCAGTCTAAGAACCTCTTTATAACAACTTCATTATAATCTCCAAGAACTTGGAGAAGAGGAGATAACTGATAGCTGATATCCATTAAACATGGCACGTAGAACTAGAACAGTCTACCCCAGTGATCGAAATAAAGGGTTCAGTTCAACATTCCAACCACCTGAAGAAGCCTGAAGCGTACAACGGCCGAAACGTTGTAATAAATATGGCGACAAAGATGAGGACAATAGTCCGAATGATGTAAATAGTATATATATATATATATATATATATATATATATATTTACATCATCATTCATATATATATATATATATATATATATATATATATATATATATATATATTATCACGTCTCTTTTTAAGTATCGCACATTGTGATAATAAAAGAAACGAAAGTTAAGTTGTAAGAAATTAAGTAAAATGAGAGGTACTTTTTTTTTTTTTTAATTGCGTTTTTCTTTTATTCTTACAAGAGCTTTCTTTTATGAAGTTAATGAATGTGAAAATTATCCAAACGTCTGTTAATATCCAGCGCTTTCGGATGGACTTCTCGCCATTTTCAAGGAATATTACTTTAATGCCGACACGAGGTTCAAACATAGACTCGAAAAAAATCCATAAATGAAAGTCGACCAAACATAATGTTACTTAGTATGCACTAAATTTGACCATTACCATTAGTCTTTCAAACTTATCAAGTGCATTAACATTGTCTCGTCCTAAATGAAAAAACTAACGCATGCTCATTAGGGCGGGTCGATTTTGGAACCATAGCATTGCACTCATTTTGAAAGTTGGAGTTTGACGTGATAAATAAGAAAGCAATTTTTTTTTCAAATCTTTAGCGTTTTTTAATGAAACGAGTTTAAAGATTAAGTTTAGGTTTAAAATCGTCAAATTGGAATTTCACTCCTGTGATCAGTGTAAGTCTTAAAGCACAGCCTTATAACATCTCTAATTTACTGAAGCTTTATACATGGTCAAGATGCAAGGCACACGCACATTATTACTAAATTATTGTATCATCAAATAACACCCTCATTTATTTCAAAGGGAAGTTATACTGAACAATTTAGTTGTATTATGATGTAATATGTTATACAGTGCAATAGTTTTAGTGCGATTTTCAATAAACAATGCAAATTTAAAACATTTTGTTTTAAAATTTGTGCCCAGCAATATTATGGTGTCATATGCACTTTTAACTAGTTTCTGATTAATTAATTAATTATTATCTAACAAATGATCTAATAAATCTTATTCATTGAGTAGCTTTTTTTTATAGTTTTTTACAATTATTTTACAGTTTTTACTTATAGAATAAAATAAAAAATTGGATACTGTGGAAATTCATAATAAGAATTCTGGTTTGAATACAGTTCCCATAATTACTTGATAAGCAGGAAGAGGCACGGTAGAGTAATGGATAACGGATTGAGGAATCGAAAAGCCGAGTTCGAATTCCAGTCGAATCCATTACATGCACTCATACCCTGGGAAAGGTATAAATGCATATATATATATATATATATATACTAAATATATATATATATATGGATATACTAAATATATATATATATATATATACTAAAATAAGAATTAAGAAAAAGGCACCAAATCTTTGTATTTATTTATAATATAAGTATTTTGACAGAGAAAAATTCAAATTAAACTTTGTTACTTACAATTGGATTTTATTTATTTTTTCTTGGAAAAATAATTTGTTGTTTCAATTTTTTTTCTTTAACCGGTTTGGCTAAGCTTTTTA